TATATATACACAAGACGATCTTCCTGTGGTAAAAGTGCTGTTTCTGAAATGGCATCAGCTTGTGGGTTGTGAGAGTAACAAGACAGGTTGCTGAGTGCAACTAGTAAGATCACAACCAACTTTGAGATAACAACTTGCAGTCTACCTTCCATTCTCAAAAAGGTTATTCTCTTCTGTAATACAGAAACTAAATTTGCTCATTTAAGAGGTCATGAATAAAATGACAAGTAGCTCGCACAGGAAATGTTGTGGCAGTCCCTTTAACACTGATGCTTCTTATAGTATTTTCACAGCATATAAGAAAAGAATACAATAAAAAATGGTGTAGAAACAGGTTAGGAATCTGTTTTCCCTCTGCATTTGGTTGTATATGTTAAATCATCACATAAAAGCTTCTGCTCACCATTATCCATTATAACTCTAAATCAAAATTTTCATCATGGCCTTGGTTTCCTGACCCATTTATTCAGGAAGTCTAATCACAGTTTTACTTTGCACACAAATGCACAAAACGGCCTATAAATCAGTCAAATTTAGTCAAACCAAAACTTAGTAATGACAAATAAGCACAATGGCATCAGGACTTAAAATGGTAGCAAGCTAATAGGTTAGCAACACTGTTATCAACGAAATAGCCTCACTGGGTAAGGCAAGCACAAACGTCTTCTAGACATCAACTTCAGACACTTGGTTCTACATCATTTGCATGAAATACAAGCTATGTTTTCCCAATCCAGCAAAACAAATTATTTGATAAAGTACTGCTGAGCGTTTATCTCCATATAAGGCATTTGTCACTAGCTGTGTTCAGTGATTGTGATTACACTCCAGACCTGTGCTTTTCCTAGTTGCTGTGGATACCTAAACATTGTCCAGTGTCCTGGAATCACATGAAAGCCATGTGAGGTTTATGCCAGAGTTTATAAAGCATTCATCAGTGCAAGAGGGCTTGAAAATCACAATGTTTGGGCACTTTACCATCTGTGAAGTGCTTACAAGTTATTGTTCTTTTTATAGAGGCAAAAAATAGATACAGTGGGCATCATGACCTCCAACCAAGACAGACCAAGAACCCGCTTGAGCCTCCGCTCAAACACAACTGTACGTTACGGCTCCATGAGCTCAGAGCAACCAGATAGTGATGCATCCTCCATGCAGACAACCGTCATCTCTCAGAAACGCTCCTACATCGCAGTGGCAGTGCTCTGCTATATTAATCTCCTCAACTATATGGACCGTTATACTATAGCAGGTGAGCACACCATCATCAAAGCCATATCAAGTGGGATGGTTCACAGAAAAAGTCATTATAAAGAGAGAGACGTTGCTCTGGTTTTATTTCAGGTGTGCTGCTTAGCATCCAGAATTACTTTGAAATCCCTGACAGCACATCTGGCCTCCTGCAGACAGGTATCAGTTTAAGTTTGTAGTACATTGCACTGACAGTACAGTAAAAAAAAAAAAAAAGAAAGAGAACATCGCAGAACAGGATTTTACAAGAGTACTTCCTCGTTGGAGATGAACTAATAGGTCTTTTTCTGTCATTTTAGTAACATGCCCAGAATTACGTAAAACACAAATAAATTTGTATGTGTAAATGATGCAATTGTGTGTGTGTGT